GGGCTCACTTGTCCTTGTCCTTCACTTTCTCCCATGCTATGATGGCCTTGCCAGATGCTGACACTGCTCATGGATTTCCCAAATTTTCAGAAGTTACAGTCATCCAGTCTCTGGTATCCTGTTATAGCAAAAGGAAATGAACCACGATAATTCCCTTTTTGTTCACACATATATGAATATACACAAAGGCAAAAAGGAAAGGGGAGACCCTTCAAAGGTATACTCCAAAATGGTAAGAATAGTTACCACCAGATAGTAGAATTATGCATGATTTATTTCCTAGTTTGTACTTTTTCCTGTGTTTTCTACATTTCCTAAACATGTAGTATGATTTTTCATAGTAGAAAAAATATTAATAGCACAACATATACTCTTCTTCCTCCATTTTTTGGTACCAGGAATTGAACTCATGACCTTGTATTTGCCAGACAGGTACTTGTGCCACTGAGCTAAATTTTGGCCTTTTTTAATCTTTTTTTTTTGGGGGGGGGTAGTGGGGCTCAAACTCACAACCTTGTGCTTGTCAGGCAGGCACTTATGCCACTGAGCTAAATCCCCAGCCCATTTTGTTCTGTTTTTTGAGACAGGTTCTCACAGTATAGTCCAGGGTAGCCTTTTATTTATTTATTTATTTTTGGTACGGGGGATCGAACTCATGACCCTGCACTCAGGTGCTTATGCCACTGAGCTAAACTCCTGGCCCTGTCCAGGCTAGTCCTGAACTCACACCAGGCTGGCCTTGAACTTCTGGCAATCATTCTGCCTCAGCCTGCTGAGTGCTGGGATTACAGGCATGTGCCACCACATGGGCTCTCCATTTCTTACTCTGAGTTGCTAAATTACCCACACTGGGCTTAAATTTGTGATGTTCCTGCCTCAGCCTTCCATAGTACTGGGATTACAGGCATTCAGTTCATGTTCAGATAGGAGTACATCCCTCTAACTTATACTCTACCTCATGACTTAGCTATAATAATCAGATACTAAAGTTTATGTCAATCTATGCTTTCCTCAACTCTCCTCTTCCAACCTTATCCCCTATTTTCTGTTTCACTGCCACCTGTTTATTGCAGGGCTCAGCTCAATTAGCTCTAATGTAATCATGGTATAAATGGAAAAACAGACTTATCTGATTCTCAGTTCTCTCATTTAAAAGGCCTGTTATTCCAGTTAATGACTTTGGCCAAGTTATCCAAAGCCTGTGAAATTTAGATCTCATTTCAAAAGGGAATAATTATGGTGGCACACTCCTGTAATCCCAGCACTCAGGAGACTGAAGCAGGAGGAATGTTTCAAGTTTGAGACCAGTCTGGGCTACAAAATGAGCCCAAGGCCCACCTGAACTACAGAGCCAGACCCTGTCTCAAAAAGACAAAAAAAAAAAAAAACAGGCAATAATTAAGTAACAGATGATAATACAAAGGGTCTAGTGCAAAGTGTTGCTCACTTCCATTTTATTTGTAAAGGACGCATGTGGTTCACATTCATAGCAGTGATTTAAAAAAAAAAAAAAGAAAAAACTTTGTTAATTTTTTTTTTTTCTTTTTTCCGGTACCGGGGATCGAACTCACGATTGCCTGCTTGCAAGGCAGGTGCTTATGCCGCTGAGCTAAATTCCTAGCCGCCCCCCTTTTTTTTTTATGAATTTTTTTTTTTTTTACTTTGTTAATTTTTTTTAAAAGTTTTTTTTTACTCAATGTTCTCTCTGGAACACAAACAAAGGCCAGAGAACATTAATCAACAAACAGCCTTAGCAACGCGTGGTAGCACCTGGAAGCTGAGGCAGGAGGATTGCTGTGAGTTTGAGGCAAGCCTGAATTACACAGCAAGACCATGTCTAAACAAAACAAAAACAGACTTACATTCATTTCAAAAAACTTTTTTCCAAACCCCTTGTTTCATTTCTTTTCTCACTTTCTGTACAAAATATGGAACATTATTATATTCATCTACAACCACGTTTTTTTCTACCACTCAAAAGTTCAAACCTCTAATTATATCTCTAACTTAAATCTGTTTATTACAATTTATAAACCAACCCAGGCATAGTGTCACATGTCTATAATCCTAGATACATGGGAGGGTGAGGCAAGAAGATCACAAGTTTAAAACCAGCCTGAACAAATTAGTGAGACACTGTCTCAAAATTTTTTAAAAAATTTTAAAAATTAAATATTTAGCCAGGCATGGTGGCCCACACCTGGAGGCTGAGGCAGGAGGACTGCCATGAGTTCCAGGCCAGTCTGGACTACATAGCAAGACCCTGTTTCAAAACCAAAAAAATATATTTTTTTTAATTTAACAAAAATCCTAAAATAAATTTATCTTTCTCCCCAAACATGCTGGCCTTCCAACATTCCCTATGGCACTACTACCTACCAAAGACAGAAATCTGAGGGACATCTATACTCTTCTTATATTGCTCTTCCTAACTGAAGTCTTGCAATCCACCTCAAATTTTAAATCCACCTGCACTACAAACTGCCAAGTAGTTTCACGCCTTAATGATTTTTAACAAATTATTACTCCCATCTAGACAATCTTTCACTTTTTTCTTTGCTTGAGTAACTTTTCTCGACCTTTAGAATTAAGCTGAAGAATGTTCTTGTCTAGAAGCAAAAGCTAACCAGAGCTTATTAATAATTATTTGGACGGGGGGGGGGGGCGGTAAGCAGGGATCGAACACATGACCTCATGCTTGCCAGGCAGGCACTTAAGCCACTGAGCTAAATCCCTGGCCCTTAATACTGTATTCAATCATACAGAAGTTGACATGAGTTGTCTTGCCTGATATCCTGAATACAGTAAGGAGATAGGTGCTATTACAGTTTTTACAGACAGGACGTCGGAGCAGTAACTCACTGGAGGTCATACATAAGTAAGAAATAATAGAATGAAGTCAAAGCTAGGTCTGAGCCCAGTACACAAGAATGTTCCTACCCAACCCACTACACCATAGTTTCCCTTTCCACCCACCTGCCAAATCCCATGGCCGCTTCATTAGGTAGGATTCTCTTTTCTACTGTCATAAAGAAGGGACACAAATCTTTCCTGTCTTTTCTGAAGGGAGTCTGTGAGCAACATGTAACTGTTTCAATTGCTTGTTTCCCTGTATCCAGCAGAATGCCTAGTTACAGTGGCAGAAAACTTCAGCAAGCATGCCCTGAAGCTGGTTGGTATCATCAAAGCTCTAAAAGGTTCCCCTCACTGACTAGGACACGGTATATCTACAAAAAATATTACGTTCTTTCACTTTACTATATCATAAATCAACTCATCCTCTCTTCTCTAAGTCCCACAGCACTTTATACTTTTCTTAGAAAACTTATCTTCTAGCTAGGGATATAGCTGAGTAGTAGGTAGCATACTTGCCTAACATGTTTGGGGACCTGGGTTAAATTCTATCTACCACAAAAACAAAAAAAGCTTCTACCTCATTTTATCTTTTTGCATATGGCACTTACCACCAGACTATGCTCTTGGATAGCAGAAGACAGTTTTGGATTTTTACTTGTACGTGTGTGCGCCTCTGTGCACATACACATGCACTGGATATGGAACCCAGGGCCTTCACACTACATTGCTAATGCTTTTTTTAATTTTAGGTTTCTTGAGACAGGGGTCTTGCTACGTAGTTCCAGCTAGTCTTAAACTCAGTGACCCTCCTGCCTCACCCTTCTGAGTGCTGTGATTACAGGTGTGTATCATCAAGCCCAGCAGGTTTATGTTTTGAGACATGATCTACCCAAATCAATAAATTACTCAGGCTAAGCTCCAACTTGTTTATGATCTTCTAGCCTTAGCCTACTTGAGTGTTGGGATTACAGCCATGGGCCACCATATACCCAACTATAGGACAATTTTTAAAATTCTTTACAAATACCGTTGCCTGTATTAACTGTTCAATAAATAATTGACTAGTGAACCTATGCTATGGTTAAAATACTGTACCTAAAAAAAATAAAATACTTTACCTAGTTGAGCATGGTAGCACATGCCTGTGATCTCAGTACTCGGGAGGCTGAGGCAGGCGCATCACTGAATTTAAGGCCAGCTCGGACTATACGAGTTCAAGGCCAGCCTAAACTACATAGCAGGACCCTGTCTCAAAAAATAAAACACTGTAACTTGCTTAACACATTCCCCTCGGCTTGAACTACCAGTGGTATATACGAGATTGTTTCATCAGCAGGCCAGGTGGTGCAGACAAGTTTAATCACTTTTATCGGTCTTTTTACTCACAAAAATAATTAAAAAGCCTCTCCATAGGACAGTAGTGAAAGTACCACCACGTCTCACTTGGCAGCGAGACACACACATTACAGACCTGATGTGAACGTGCTAACAGTTTTTATCTCTATCGTGCAGATTTTTTCCCATTCTAATTAAATGATAGCCCTACTATCAGCAACGCACCGAGGGCCTTCTGATTAATTTGTCTCGCCACAAGCTTCCCCATATCAGGAGACTGTTAGGATTGATGGTCCTAACAGAAAGTTAGTCCACGGAGTCCGGAGTCAAAATACTATAGAACCCTGAACTGTTGTAGTACGTAAATCACGCGGTTCTACAGAATGACAGAGACTGTCAATGTGGTTTCAGGCTCACTTAACATACTACACAACCGCGCCACTATCTAGTCCTCTGGGCTTCTTCACGCGCTGGCATGGCCAACCGTGTCGCGTTCAGAGCGCTGAAGAGTCACGGTGAGGAAAGCGATGATCCATCCACCTGGCCTCAGACCTGGGCATCTTCCCAGACGCTGCGAGTCAGGCTTTCTCCTCCCCCAGACTCCCCAGCACCTGGGGGGCGTGGCTCTCACCTACCCACCCGCCTACTCTCCCTCGAGGCTACTCCGGTTTCTCCAAAGACCCTCCCCTCGGGTAGCCACGCAACGTGGGGACGGAGTGAAGGCCAGCACAAGCTGCAGGCACCCCCTCGCCGCCTCGCATCGACCCCAGACCCATTCAGGTGCCCTCCGCACGTTCTCTGCGCCTCACCTGTTCGGCCGACACCGCCCCCTTCCCCGCACCGCTCCCGCTGCTCTTGCCGGCGCGACCGCTACTCTCCGCCATTTTCGCCGCCTGCCAGGCTTCCGGCCTGCGCAGCGCCTCTCCGTCCTACGTCACGTCCGGTCCGGGAGTTACCGCCCCCTCGCCTTGGTGCCGCTGGCTCCAGGCCGCTGTTCGGATCGGATCCTGTGAATGGTTTTGGCTGCGTTTTCATGTAGGACCTACTCCCTAGCCCGCCCATTGCGGTGAATTCCCTCTGCGGTGCAACAGAAATTCCTGCCCCAGAAAGAAGCGGGGAAGACGGCTATTCGGAGGGTGGAGACTCGGACTGGGGTCTGGTCTTGTGCCCTCTGTCCACCTTGGGTGATAGGGAGCGAGGGTATGCGAACTTCCCTGCAGAAGTTCTAGTTTAAGGGGGAAATATGTTTTGAGTCAATCAAATATGCTTTGCGCACAGTCGGGAGAGAGAGGCTTGGAAAAACCAAGGTTTCTCTGAGGTGACTTTTGGACTGCGTCTTTGGCAGAAGGGTTCCACTTTTGAGATCCCTGGAAATTGAGTCCGGATTGTAGTCCCCTTCTCCATGTTCTTACTTTAGGATCTCCTCTCATAGCCCGTACTTACAGTAAAAGATGTTTTTGAACAGTTAGGGGAGCCTTTACTGACAGGGCTCTGATTCAGACTCAGCATGAAAGGAGACATCGAAGAATCCTAGAAGTGTATTGCTTGAAGAGGAATTTGATGTCCTGATTTCTCACCTTCCTCAGGCTGGGCTTCATCACCAACCAGCTCCTGTCTCCTCTGTGTCCTGGACTCCGCATACGTGGACTCTCAATACTTTGTGCTCAATACAGGTAACATGTTTTGTTTTGTCCTTAGTTCCTGCCACATAGTAGATGGTCAGTGTTAACTGGATGGTGAGAGACGTCAGCCATCCACAGAACATTTGATAAATAAGCTCCACTGGCCTTGGGTTAGTATTCTAAGAGCATTGTCAGAAGGAAATCCAGTGTTTCTGCCTTCCAATTTAAACCCTTCGCTAAACTTGGGTTTCTCCATGCTAGGAAATCTGAGAATCCTGCCTATGCCATCCACAGGCCCAGAGCCATGGCTAGCTCCTCGTCCTCCTGGGAACTGCCCCTAGTGGCTGTGTGCCAGGTAACATCAACACCAGACAAGCAACAGAACTTTAAAACATGTGCTGAGCTGGTTCGAGAGGCTGCCCGACTGGGTGCTTGCCTAGCTTTCCTGCCTGAGGCATTTGACTTCATTGCTCGGGACCCTGCAGAGACACTCCGCCTGTCTGAGCCACTCGGTGGGAACCTTTTGGAAGATTATATCCAACTTGCCAGGTATCAGGGAATGGGGAGGAAATTGAATCTTTATTTGCCTGTATCCCTGGATTGTCAGATGAGGGTAGAGCCTGAAGAAGAGTTGTCAGTGTCCCCTCCCCCCCAGGGAATGTGGACTCTGGCTGTCCTTGGGTGGTTTCCATGAGCGTGGCCAAGACTGGGAGCAGACTCAGAAAATCTACAATTGTCATGTGCTTCTGAACAGCAAGGGTGAGATTTCATAACCATTTAGCCTGCTTCTTCCCAGGTTCTTGTACCTAAACTTAGATTCTTCAAAACTGTTTCATTCCTCTATTTCCTTGGCCCAAGGTTTTAGGAGTACTTGCACTTCTGTTCTTAGCCTATAAACTGTCTCCTCCTTAGGCAGAAAAGTAGCTAAACTCAGCTTCTAAAGCACCAGCAATGAGCATTTCTTTTTCCTCTTATCCTAGGATCAGTAGTGGCCACTTACAGGAAGACGCATTTATGTGACGTAGAACTTCCAGGGCAGGGACCTATGCGTGAAAGCAACTCTACCATAGCTGGGCCCAGTCTCGAGTCACCTGTCAGCACCCCAGCAGGCAAGGTAGGAGTTGTGAGAATGAAGGTGGGAGAGAATGAGGGAGGGGAATAGGAATACATCAAAGTGGTAACGGAAGTTGTGACAAATGGGACAGGGATGCCAAGTATGCTGCTTTTCATTTCAGATTGGTCTAGCTATCTGCTATGACATGCGGTTTCCTGAACTCTCTCTGGCATTGGCTCAAGCTGGAGCAGAAATACTTACCTACCCTTCAGCTTTTGGATCAGTTACAGGCCCAGCCCACTGGGAGGTAAGAGGACACCTCTTCAGAACATAAAGACTTTGTCAACTTCATTTGCTTCCCTTGGCTTTAAAAGTTGAAGGATTTTCTTCCTTTTCCCACCTAGTGGGAAAATTCCTTCCCCACAATTGTGGCTTGTGTGTTACAGAATGTAGCAAATCATTAAGTCATTCCAGGGCAGTTATCAGAATGGTGACAATGGATAATGTGTCCATTTCCTGACTTCCCTACTAGCTGCTCTATGTGCTTGAGTGTTTCTCATCTCCTCTTCAGGTGTTGCTGAGGGCCCGTGCCATTGAAACCCAGTGCTATGTAGTGGCAGCAGCACAGTGTGGAAGCCACCATGAAAAGAGAGCAAGTTATGGCCACAGCATGGTGGTGGACCCTTGGGGAACAGTCGTAGCACGCTGCTCTGATGGGCCAGGCCTCTGCCTTGCCCAGATCAACCTCAACTACCTACGACAGGTTCGCCAACATATGCCTGTATTTCAGCACCGCAGGCCTGACCTCTATGGCAACCTTGGTCACCCACTGTCTTAAGCTTTTTGATTCTGCCAGTTGAGACCCCCCCCATTGTGAGGTAGTACTGCTGTGATTTGTAGGCAGGACCCAAGCACAGCTCCCCTCACTTGGAAAACCTTGACTGTATTGATGTAACACAGGCTCAACTTCCTGGGAAAAGAGACGGCTTCCCCCTGAGCTCAGATTGCAGCTTCAGAAAAGTGGAATTTTATATAGTCACTGTTTATTTCATGAAAACTGAAGTTATGCTGAGGGCTGACCAGCACTAGCATTGAAAAAAATATATAATAATCATAAAGTCTGTGTCTGGACATCTCCTTTGGGAGCTGGATGGGAAGGTGGTAATTGTACCTGCTGGACTAGGCTCCAGTTCTAAGCCTCCTGGCTCATTCAACATGTCCCCTACCTAAAACAAAGTGCAACACTCAGTGCATATCCCAGCCCCATTCTCCCAGGCCTGGGAGTGGGAGGAGGGGTAGAAGAGAGGGAAAAAAGAAGGGCGAATCAATACTAAATTACTTCACTTTCTCTTATGGTGCCCTTTGCCCAAGCCAGAAGAAAGCAAAGGGGAGAAGGGCTGCAGGGTATGTTATTTATTTTCACTTGAACATGGAAGGAAAGTGTCACACTCCTCCTTCCCCTTTTTAGGGGGAGTGTATTTTAGTCAGGCGCCTCTTTCCCATCTACCCTGTGTGTGTTATACACAGCAAAGTTGGGAAGGGTAATGAGACTGACCAAGTTCTCTTATGTTACTCTCTTGAAGAGGGTCTGACAAAGGACAGAAAGGAAGAAGCCACACCAGGCAGCAGCTTCAAGCCTTGGAATGGAGAAAAGGTGGCAGAAAGGAGCAGCACCAGAGGCCAGGAGAGTGGAAAGGGCCACAGCTTCTGTTTCTTAAAAATTTTGTAATTTGGAAGAGGGGAGTGATTAATTTCCAAAATACACTTCAGAATCCCACCTTCCATACAGCTCCCTTACTCACAGCCCTTTGGTTTTTCAGACAAAATTTAAGAGCCCTCATAAAGCCGAAAGTATTGATAACCCCTCAATGCACCCAAAAGCAGTGTTCACTTCAATCCCCTACAAAGACTGACCTATAGACTTTGCATTTCCCTACACATTTGTCTTACGGCTCAGTGGTGAGGTGGCTGCAGACACACATTGGGGAAGGCAGGGATGGAGACCAGGGTAAGCCCAGGCACATGGGTGCGGAGAGGGCTGGGGACCACCACTTCCACGCTTTGTCTTTTTCTTTAAAAAAAAAAAAAAAAAAAGGCAGGGGTTTGATTGGTTGGAAGGGCAGAGAACAAACCCCAAAACAGTATGTGAGCTCCAGAGGCGGGTGGTGGGAACAGTCCCCAGAGAACTGAGAAGGGGAAAGGTTAGGGCAACGCTTGCAGCATCAAGTTCCTCAGGAGTTTCTGTCGGCCAAGCTCATAGTCCTCCTCATCTACATTGACCAGCAGCTTGATAGCTTCATGCCCCACAGCTTGCTTAAGCGAGTCTGTGATAAAGACACCTTTAAGTGCCTCTAGTAACGAGCCATTGATGTAGTCACGCCAGAATGCATCGAGGTAGGTGAGCTCAGAGAACTTGATATCACAGATGATGGAGCCCAGGTCCCGGGACTTGAGGATGGTGTTGGCCTGGCTAAAGCGCTCAAACTGGCGCTCAAGTGGGTCCTGCTTGTTAGAGAAGACGTTGCCTTGCAGAGCAGTGTCATGCTGGCAGTATTCAGCTCGAACCCGCAGTCTGATGTCTATGGGAGAGGGACGGAACGAAAGGTGGTACAGTGAGGAATAAGTTACAACCCAAGTCTGAAAGCTGAAAAGAATGATAGAATAGCAAAGTTGGGAACATGATCTGACAGCTTCTCTACCATTTCCCCAGGATTAGTTCTTTTCTACAGATCTCTGAAATCCTTGGCTAAATGCAGGAGGTTTCCTTAAATGGCACGTGCCCAGGTCAGCATTATTACTATCATTCAAAAACATCTTGCTTCTAGGAGATAGCTTCCTAATTACAGGCATCACGGTTCATTTTAATACTTGGTTTTTCCTGCACTGAAGATGTCATATTGGCATCCCTTTGTGTATTAACTCCATGTAGTTGAAATGTATCCTGCCACGAAGATGGAGAGTCCTAGAGCCTGAACCATTTAACCTCACTTTGCAGTAGCAATCAACATGAGCTTTGCCTCAGACAACAGGGAGCTAACCTCACTTTGCAGTAGCAGTCAACATGAGCTTTGCCTCAAATAACACGAGCTGCCCAGTACCCCAACAGTACTAAAGCCTACTCCACCTCTGGAATCCATGAACTTCCTCACCACATGTCTGCTTTTCCTTGGGATCTGGTGTCACTGACTTCCGGCGTTTTCGCTGGCTCCCAAGTGTGGCTCTCCCTCGGGCTGGCCGCTTGCTACACATCTGAGGACCCGAAGTGGGGCAGCATACCACAGGATAATGGGGAGGCACTAACCAAAAAGTAGAAGGGAAGAAAATACAGTAAGGAGGGGCTGGGGATTTAGCTCAGCGGCATAAGCGCCTGTCTTGCAAGCAGGCAGTTGTGAGTTCGATCCCTGGTACCGATAAAAACGAAAAAGACAAAAAAAAAAAAAAAAAAGAAAAGAAAATACAGTAAGATGACAGCAGAAATTCACACTCTCTTCTGGGAATGTAAAAGGAATTAGTTAGACTTAGCACTAAAAGCATTAGCAATACTGTGACCTGAAAGGACACAACATAAAAGCAAACATAGGGCATGGATGAAGCCTTCACAGCTCACCTGATTTTTTTATGCAGTTAGATGTTAGAAAACAGTATCCTTTCATATAAGCTGGCAAAACCAGGAATGTGATGGATCTGTGTCCTCTTGCTTAATTATGCATATTAGGAGTAATATCCTCTCACCTGTTTTAGGGGGCTGGGGAGGCCTCGGTTCTGGATCACTGAGGGTTCTTGGGGTCACATAGCGAATAGACGTCTCCTCTAGATACTTGTCTACAAGGTCAGGGCACACTGTAGAGGGGAGAAAAGTCATTCAGGGGAAAGTACACCTCTCACTTTTTTCAGTGCGCCTCCACATTTATCCTAGATACTCCCCAAGGTCAGGCCCTCTCCCCTCTAAATCCTATGCTGCTCACTCCAGGCCTCCCAGAACTCTTCCCTGAGTCCAGTGTTCGCAGCCACCCGAAAAACCTCACCAGCCCTTCTCCTCTTGAGGGTGACGTAGGGCAGCAGGTCATGGCGAGTTATGATGCGTAGCAGCTGCAGCACCTGGCGAAAGTTACTCTCATCACAGCGGCCCTGGCGCTCCAGAGCCAGTAAGAAGTCACGTCCATTTCTGATGAGTCCGCGCTCATGGTCATCAATGACGTCAACAAAGAGGAAGGAAAGCACACGCACATCTCTGTGTGTCAGATGGGTTCCCACGATGTCAAACATGCGGTGCAGGCTGTACAGCCCATGTTCCTGCTCACCATGCTCTTCCGGCCACACCTGGCCTGCCCGCCGCTTTAGCCCCGCCATGCTGGGGGCTCAGGAACACAACGCTTTCCAGAATCTCTGCTCAGCAGCTATAATCCCCAGTGCACTGTGAGAATAGGGCAACAACCTATGAGCTGCGCAATAGCAGGAACCAGTTTATTCATCCTAGTGCTTAACATGATGGCTGGTACAGTTTCCTGCTTGATACATGTTTATTAAATGTTTTTAAAGTGTTCGTTAAAAATAAAGCCGGGGACTGGGGATTTAGCTCAGCGGCATAAGCACCTGCCTTGTAAGCAGGCAGTCGTGAGTTTGATCCCTGGTACTGATAAAAATGAGAAAAATAAAATAAACAAAGCCTACAGCTCTCCATACCTGACAGATGATGCCCTCAGTCCAGATTCTACTGAAGTTATAATCACTTCTCCTGAACGAAAATATTCTATTAATTTTAGTACTACTTATTCAGCAAAAGTTGCTACACATAGTACTTTGATTATTCCTCTTACCCAAAACAATGTTTTTATGTCCTGAAAACTTAAAACTCTGCCTTCTCTCCTCCCCTGTGTACTTCATTTCTTTTTCTATTTTTGTTTTTAATATAGGGTACTGCTATGTGGTCAAGGCTGGCCTTGAACCTGTGATCCTCCTGCCTCAGCCTTCTAAATGCTGGGATTACAGGCTGTACCACCATACTAGGATTTCAGAATAGAGAATTCTCCTTTAGTTATATAGAAGGTGCATTAGATGTACTTAGAAATTAATGAGAAAGCTGAGAAATCTTCAGTTACAATTAGTTTAAATTCTGGCTATGTTATATCACTAACAAGTTATGTAGCAATGTGACACTTTCTTACCTGATACTGGAGATTAAACCTAGGGGCTTTATCCTGAGCTACATTCCCAGGCCTTTTTTTTTTTTAATTGGTACCGGGTATCGAACTCACGACCGCCTGCTTGCAAGGCAGGTGCTTATGCCGCTGAGCTAAATCCCCAGCCCCATTCCCAGGCCTTTTTAAGGTAGTGTATCTTTAAGTTGCTAAATTGACCAAGCTGGGCTCCAACTTGCAATCTTCCTGCTGAGATTACAGACATGCACTACCACACCTGACAGCTGTGTAATTTTAAGCAAGTCACTAACTTCAAAGCTTCTGCCCTCATCTACAAAACAGGGATGAGAAAAGCAGAATCCAATGAGAAAATGCATACACACATTACTATTTTTGCACTCAATTCTTAGTAAGTACCACACATGTGCACACACAAGCATCACTTTAGAAACCTTACATAAATGGTCATGAAAAAGACTTTAAAGATATAAGCCCTGGCCATAGCAGCACACACGTTATCCCAGCAGTCAGGAGAAAGAGGTAGGAGGATCACAGTGAGTTCGAGGCCAGCTTAGTTTACAAAATGAGTTTAAGGCCAGCCTGAACTGAAGAGCAAGATCCTATCTCAAAAAGACAAAAAAGAAGCAGATATATATGCATTCTTGACCTCTGTGTCTCAGATGCAATCCCTATAAAACTCTTCATTTTCTTACAATCTAACCAAGTTCAAATGCTTAACTGCTCAGGTAAGTAACTGACATTCACCAAAACTTCACATCTCATACACATTATATAATTTGGCATTTGATTTACAAAGTTCCTCTATCAAAATGGGTAGTGCCAATAACCCAGCCATTTTCAGCCTACAAATCTAACAACTTTAACCCCTACCCTAGTCATTTATTATTACTGCCCAGCCAGTATCACTAGTACTATTCCATCCTCTGATCACAGCTTCCAACAATCCAACAGATGCTAAA